TATAGATTGGTAGGCGATGTGTGTTTCGAGTGTATTTAATAATAATTTGCCGATTTTTGTTAGTTTTCTTTATATTTTCAAATTTGTCACGAACATTCAAAGATAAATTCGAAATAGTTTTTTTTTGTGCTTCTAGTCAACAGGAGCACTTTTTTTTTGTCTCTCGCTATTGAATCAAATCTCTCACTGGTCCTAATTAACCATCTTGTTTTTGTTCCGCTTTTACGAAATTCCGCCTTTTCAATGTTTATCCGAATTTTTCCGAAGAGATTTATTTACATTTTTGTTTCAATTTTTCGAGAATTAAAAATGTTTTTTTTAACTTATAAAAAATTATTTGAGTTCAATTACATTTTTGAGTTCGATTTTATTTCTTCGAGTTCAATTTTTTTTTTAGTTCAATTCTATTTCTTTGAGTTCGATTTTTTTTTGAGTTCAATTTCATTTCCTTGATTTGTAACTTGGAGAAAAATTTAATTTTCGGATAAAATTGAAGGGCTTGTCGAGCGACGCGAAAACTTCGACATTTTATTATTTTTTTTTGTGACTCATTTTTATCATCACGTAATCCTAGTCTTATTCATTATCTAATAAAATATAGAACATTGGGATGCAGCCGTCGCGCAATTCCAGACACACGTGTTTACAATGCGACATATCAAATATATAGTATAGAATTAATTACAATCCGTAAGTGTGTGATTTTTTTCACTTCCTCTTGCTTTTAATAATACACTTTTTTTTTCTTCTCAATAAGTGTTTCAATTTATTTTTCTCATATAACTATAAATATTATTTCTTTTACTTTTATATGCTCTGTAGGTCTATGCATTGTTTACTACGTGGCCAAATTTCAGACTATAAATTTCGAAAAAAGAAAAAAAAAAATTTCCACTTTCATTTTTTTTTCTAGAAATTCGATAGTCGGAATATTTTTTTTTTTTTGATACCATGTAGCGAGTGCTGGCTATCCCAACAATCACATCGGCCCCCCTCAACACAGCTAATGCGACAATAAGCAAAATACTTCGGGATTTTTTTCCCTTTTCTCGAAAAAAAAATATCGAAGTATTTTGATTATAATTTTCTGCTCGCGACCACTGCCCCATCATCGTTTTTTTATATTCTTTCTCCTTTTTTCTTTTTTTTTTTGGTTTTTTTTCGGTGAAATGCAAACTGGTCACTCGAACACATATCGTTTTATTTTATTTATTTTTTTTGTTTATTTAAAAATCAGCGACTAACGCTAATCGCAAAATCGAGATTCTACTTAATTTCTTAACATTTTTTTATTTTTTTTTTAATTAATTCGCTTAAAGAAGACTGGCACCTGTTCCCATATATTTGATTAAAAAAAAGCCCCTTTTCACAACACTAACGGACACGGCGACTGGCAAGAGAAAATGTATCGCGCGCACAACAAAAAAATCGCGTCGCACGGACGAAAAAAAGTAAAAATTGCGCAGGGCAGTTGATTTTTTTTCCATATTAAAAAATCGGATAATTACTAATCGTTTCTAATTTTTCATCTAAAGGAGTGAATTATTATTTTTTTTAAAGACGAGCTAACCAGTGTGTTTAATTGTGATTTAGACGATAGGGCTTTTGTCTCATACGAGCACTAGGCAATTTTATACAATTTATAATACTCGACGCTTAATAACTACAATTTAAAACTGTATCAATCAATGTCTACCCGAAATTCTAATAAATAATAACTGGAAAATAAGGGGAGGAAAAAAAAACGAAAAAAAAGGAAAGTAAAAAATTAGAAAGAAGAAAAAGAAAAGTTAGAGAAAAAAATGAAACAAAATAAAGAAATACAAAAAAAATCATGTCAATGGAAAATCTTAAAGAAAAGAAAAGTGAGAGTAGGAAAATATTTTCGAAAAAAAATGAAAACAAAATTTATATTGAGAAAAAGGATAAATTAGAAAATACTGAAAAGGAAAAATAAAAAACCAAAAAAGCTGCTTTTGTCGATATTATAAAACGATAATAACTTAACAAAAAAAATACTCTTCGTAACAAAAATTAATACTAATTTCCTGTTTTTCCGTGTGCGTGTAAAGTGTTAATTACTGTGTCCGTGTGTGACTTTTTTTTCTCAGTCCAAGCCTGGACTTTCAATTTTTTTTCTTCTATTTAAAGTGTAATTGTCGCTTCAGAGATTCGAAAGACACAGATCGTAGATGCAAAGACTGGCCCCCTTCGCTCATGCCGGCAAACTCGCTACCTTTTTGAAAACAACCATCGCTCACTCTTTTTTTTTTTTGGTCAAGAAGCTCGAAGACCTGAAAAAAATTTTCAAAAAAAAAAAAATTGATTTTCGAGCAGAAAAAAACACCAAGAATTAGAGAGCTCCTACAACTTTTGGCACAAACATTTTTGCCTAGCCGGCACTCGCAGTTTTTTTTTTTTTGTTTTGTTTTAGTTTGTTCACAAACTACAGTTTTCAAAACATTCGCTCAATTCAGTAACAGTCACGCGTCTCGCTTTCTTCTTCTTTTTTTTTTAATTATTTCTACTATATTTATATTTTATATATGTATCGTTAAAATTTAATTGACTCCAACAGAACGTCATGTCGGTCAGACCAAAATGTGTGTGTGTATATTTTTTTTCTTTTGTGACGACAAGACGTTTTTTTTTATTTGAATAATAGTTGTGATTAAGAGCTAAAAATGCGAAAAATTGCTTTTTTTTGCAGAAAAACTGCATCAGTCCGTACCGGGGGGGAAAATTGCGGGTTTTTTTTTTTTTGTTTTTTAAGGAATCTTGGTCAATTTTCACACCACGCTCTGTCGACCAACGCGCGCTTTAACCATCGTCAATTATTCAAAAAGTTTTTTTTTTGTATTATACAAATTCTTCGCGACCGAATTTTAATAACAATTGAAGAATTTCAACAGATTTTGTTTTTTTTGGGAGATAAATTCTTTTTTTGGGAAATACGAGTGTATTTCTTTGCTGTGTCGATTATTTTTTTTCGATTTTCTAGAAATCTTTTTTAATTTTATGCTTTTTTAGAGAATGTTTTTAATTTTAAATTCTTTTACAGAAGGAATTATAATTTCTGTTTTATATTACAAATTCTTTTTAGAATTTTTCTTTTTTAATTTTGATTTATTTTTGCAATTATAATTTGTTTTAAAATTTTAATTCTTGTTTTGAATTATGATTTCCTTTTTGAATTATAATTCTTTTTTTGAATTTTAATTCATTATGAATTTTAATTCATTATGAATTTTAATTCCTTTATGAATTCTAATTTCTTTTTTGAATTTTCAATTTCAGTTCCTTTTGTAGAAGAAATTAGAATTTCTTCTTTGATTTGTAATTATCTTTTTTAATTTAAATTCTTTTTTTAAAGTTAAATTAATTTTTTGCATTAAAATTTACTTTTTTAAACTACAATTTCTTTTTTGATTTACAATTTTTTGAATTACAATTTCTTTAACCAATTTTCATTAATTTTCAATTACAATTTCTTTTACCAATTTTAATTTCTTTCTTTCAACTACAAAAAAAAAATTGTAATTGAAAAAAGAAATTGAAATTAGAAAAATAAATATTTTTCTAATTTCAATTTCTTTTTTCAATTACAATTTTTTTTTTCGTTCAATTGGAATTTTTCGGATTTTAATTCCTTTTTTGAATTATAATTCCTCGTTTGAATTATAATTCTTTTGAATTTTTTGAACTTTAATCCCTTTTGTAGAAAAAATTAAAATCTTTTCTCTAATTTTTGTTTCGAATTTCCGAAAAGGGAAAAAATTCCACTAAACGACACAGACAATTTTTCATTCGACAACAAATTAAATGCGCGCTCGCACGTAGAAACTCGTAATAGCGATATGTTCAAAACGTTCAATCCTCCTTTCTTCTTCTTTTAAAATCTAACTTACGAATAGTTAGCTCTACGCATTCCTAAATTTCTAATTTTTGAAAAAAAGAAAATTAAAATTAAGGAAACGTGTCCAGTGTTTTTTTTTTGTATGTGCGTTTCAAGTGTCTGTGTTATTTTTTTTTTGCTCGTAGCGACGTGTGCGTGTCTGTTTTTTTTCTCTTTTAATACTTATCGTCAAAACTGAAGGATAAAAATTATAAAAATAAACACCCTCGCGACTTGATATCAGTTTCGTGAAACGATCGAAACAAAAACGAGTCTATTTACAAAAAGAAGATTGAGGAAAAAATAGAAAAGAATATTAATTTAAGTCTATTGAACTCGCAGTCAGTTTAAGTCTCTCCTCAGGAAAATACGAAGAAAAATTCTTTACTCGAAAGAATATTTAAAAAATTATTTTCGTGAGGAGATAATTGTTTCGATCGTTTTTCGACACCGTTCATGACGCTTAGTGACCAACTTGGAAATCACTTCGTTTTTCTCTATAATTGATCGATCCTCTGGTGAATTTTCTTTTTCACGAGAGGAACGAGTTTTCCTTGTCAGAAAAAACGAAGTTGGAAGTAGCACCTCGCAAAAGGGTCCCATGGCTTAATATAACTCTTAAATGTTAATAATTACTTGTGTTTTCCACGTCCGCCACGTTTTTTCGTCTTCTGATTTTCACACAGCCTTTTCTTACAAGGGGGTATTTTTTTCAAAGTCACGGAAAAAGTCCGAATCGACGACGAGAAACGTGGCGGAATGGGAAAATAATACAGCACTCTCGAATCTTTTTTCGAGAAACTATCTAAAAATTATCCAGCAAATTCGTCGGCTGGCTTTCTGGTTTTTTTTCTCTCCTATCCTACGATTAAAGTTACTTTTTTTTTTTGCCTGTACTTCAACTAACTTGAAAAAATTCTTAATTCTTAGACATATGAATGTTTTTTGTGCCGATAACGGCGAGAGAATTTTTTTTTTTGCAATTATTCCTCCCGTCGCGAACGGCCAGCGTGACGCTTGTAAAATATATTTATCTTAGGATTATGTTATTAATATACGTTTAACTCTGTACAAGTAATCAGGACTGTCAGCAGAGCTTTTTCTCTTTTTTTTTTTTGAAAATTTCTTTATTTAAGCATTTTTCATTTTGTATCGTGAATGTGAAGAAAAATATACGAAAAAGTAATTCGTATAACTGTGATTTGAAATAACGGACGCTTTGAGAGAGGAGAAAATACGGCTCTTGATGATGATTTTCTGTATTTTCTTTTTTTTTGTTCACTAAATTTGAAGCTCTGTTGCGCAGGTCTGGCTTGTAAAACACTTTTTTCTTTTCTGAACCGTTTTTCTCGTTTCCTGTCTTCAAAGTCGTTTTGTTTAGGCATTTTAATTCCCAGCCCTTAAAAGTTTTCTTTTGGCCCTAGGTAGATTTATCGAGGGCGAATTATTAGTTTTTCTCTCTTACTTTGAACAGTGACTTATTTTGTGAACCGTCGGCTGACATTCGAGGGACGGTTAACGAAAGAAAAAAAAAATATTGAATACGACACTGTTTTTGATATTTTGTTGAATGAAGTCTTTTCACGGATTTTTTGTTTTTGTTTGCTTTTTTCGAGCACCAAGACTCACTGCGACGATGGGGATTTGAGAAAAAAATCATTTGTTGTTGAATCAATCCGAGCAGTAAGTCTATCAGTCGTATACGGCACTAGGATACCAATAGTGGTAAAGGGCGTAGGGCTGGAACCATTGTGGCTCACAAGGCGGTCTCTCTTGTTAGATGTTGCTCTTTGAGAATGATACCCTCAGATGATTGGATTCGCTCAATTGGAAATTGTGCATTTTCTGAAACAAAATTTTTCGCACATTAGTTGCTAAATTCTTCATCAATTGAGAGAGTAAGAAAATTTATTCTTTTATCTTCGGTCAAAAAATAATTGAGAAAATAACAATTTGTTTAAATAAAAATTGTAAAAAGCGTAAAAGTTATTTTTGAAAAATAGTAAAAATTTCAAAGAGTAATAATAATTTTTGAAAACTGAAAACATTTAAATTTGTCGAATTGAAAAAATAATTTTTTTTCTAAAAATCTGAAAATTTGAAAATAAATAGCTAAATATTTTCTCAATTTTTAAATAGAAACATAAAAAATTCGTAGTAGATTTTATATTCTTTTGTTGACAAAAATTAGTGCGTACTTTAATCGTTGCACGAAATGAAAATTGCCATCATAAAATTTATAATATTAGCTTAATGTATACTTAATTAAATTCAAAATTGTCGCAGTTAATATACAAAATATCCGGTTATATAAGCCGCAAAAGTACGCTCATTCTACGCATATGTCACACATCAGTAAACCGTTGATTAAACGCTATTTATGAAACACTGAGCAATAAAATGAGCCATTACTGGTTTATAAAGCAAAAAACAAAGGAGAAAAAAAATATTGCAGGGAAATTCGATTTTTGAGAACAATTCTTTTTTCTCTCTTTCTTTACAATTTTCTTCTTCTTTGAAAATTATATAAAAATATTTCTTTCTTTAAAAATTTTAATTTTCTTTCGTTCAAAAATTATCTTTTTCATAATTTCGATCATTAAAATTTTTCTTTCCTTCGAAAATGAATTTGAAAATAAATTTTTTCACAATTTCCATCTTAAAAACTTTTTTTCGTTGGAAAATTAATTTTTTTCGAAAATTTCAGACTCTAAAAATTGTCTTCTTTAAAAATTTCAATCTCTAAAAATGTTGTTTAAAAATTTTCTTCTCTGAAAATTTCATTCTTTAAAAATTGAAATCAGTTGAATTTTCTTTTCTTATAAATTTTATTTTTCAGTAAAAAATTCCGTTAACTCTTTCACTTGTAAAAAGTAATAAATTAGAATTTCAACTTACAATCAGTGCTGAAACTGCATCATCCATGCTCGCCATTTGAATAAGTGCCATTTTTCTGTCCTTGGGGAAAAATTTGAAAGCCTTCACAGTGAAACCGTTTTTCGTGAATGATTCCTTGATTTGTTCTTCGGAAACAGTCGCTCTGGAGATAAATTTTTTTTAAATTCCCATAATTATGATAATAAATTAAAAATTTTATTAATTAGATATAAATAAAAAAAATTTAGAATATTTATTGTAATAAAATAGAATGTAGTAATAGAATGTAAAAATAAAAAAATACAAAAATATAAAAATGCTAAAATATTGCAATTTTTTATTTTAAAAAATAAAAATGCATCTTTTATTTTAGCATTTTTATATTTTTGCATTTTTTTACTAAGAAAGAAAAATAAAAATAAGAGTAAAACAAAATGTAAATATTTGTAAATGTATTTTAAATTCTGAATACTTTAATTCGGAATTTAAAAAAAAATGAATTTGTCGAGAGAGTGAAAAGAAAAGGAAACTTACGGAATGTTCGATAAATGCAACGTTGAACTTGGTGGGTAAATATTCTGATAATTCTTGGAGCCGGGTTTCTTGAATCGATGCAGAGGGCTGTTTGTGTAATCCTTGGTGAGACCTGCATCAGGTTGTCCTTCTCGTGGCAGTTGGACTGTCTGATGTTTGCTCAACATCACTCTAATCGGCTTACCAAACACCTTTAGCTTGTCCATGTGAGTGATAGCTGCAAATTGGCAATATATCATTTTTTTAGTGTTTCAATTCTTTTTATTGTAATATTTTATGCAAAAAAAATTTTTTTTTCGAGTTTTTTTTAAAATTATAAATGAAAAAAAAATTTATTGAACTTTCTGTAACTTTGCCAATGATTTTAATTTATTTTACAAATTTGTTGTAATTTATTGTAACTAATTGTAATTACAAATTATTTGCAAACTTTTTTTTAATTTTTAAGTTCAGATAAAATTTCGGTATTTAATTTTAGTCATTAATAATTAATTTAAATAATTATATTTTTAGTTTATGTTTTTTATTTTTGTTCTTTACTTTCTTTTTTCGTTCCTGTTCTTTATTGTTTTTCTGTTCTTTCTTTATTTTCGTTCCTTTTTTTCCTGTTTTTAATTTTTTTTCTGTCTTTAGTTTTGTTCTTTATTTTTAGTCTTTATTTTAACCAATCAATTTTTTTTTAACTTTGAATGATTTCTTAAAAATTACAAATAATTTATTTACTTACTAATTTTTTATTTGAAAAAAATTGAAAAGTTTGCAAATTAAATTACTTTTATTATTTATTTATTGTTTATTAAAATGAAAAAAAATATTTTAAATTAGATTTGAAGGAAAAAATAGTTTTCTGTGTTGGCACAATTTTTTTAAAATTCAAATTGCCAAAAATTTGATTTTCTTGTAATTTTTTCTTCTTTTTTCGTAAATTAGCGGAAGACAGCGATTTTACCTAAATGTGCTTGATGAGGTTCGGCCAATTGAATGAGGGCAGAATCCTTTTTATTGTAGAGAATTTTCACACGTTGTACATCCCCATAAACACCTATATTAAAAAAGAAATTTTTCAAAATGAATAATAATTTTTAAGGAAAAAAAAAATTTGTCAACTTTTCAAATGTTAAGAATCTAAATTAAAAAATTTTTTTTTCAAATATTTTTCAATCAAATATAATATTCTAATTCATGCATAAGAGAAATTCTTCTTCTTCGCTTTTAATTTTAATTTTTTAAAAAACATTATTTTCAAAATCGAATTTTTTTTAAATTCTTCTTTCTTATTAAACATAAAATTATTTTTTATTCAAAATCATCAAAAGTTTGAAATTAAATTTCTGTCTTAGAAATTAAATACAAAATTAAAAAAAAATTAATTATTGAAAAACAAAATTTTCTTGGGATTATTTTTTATTCTCCTAAAATATTAACTATTAAAATTATTATTTATTAAAAACTTATTTGTGACCTTAAATTTCATCTAAAAAAAAATTTAAATTTTTATGAAAAAGCGAAGAAAGAATAATTTCTCTTGAGAAGAGTGAGTTCTCTATTTTTGGGATGACATAATCCAAGCGAAAGCTCTTGTAATATAAAATTAAGGTGTTTTGAAAAAAAAACATAACTGATTATTAATAATAAAATATTAATGAAAAATTTAGAAAGAAAATAATGCTTGGAGATAGAGAACATGATGTGTGAAGGTGTTCTATAATGGTGATGACAACAAATGACAATAAATATAGCTTGTAGTAATAAAGTAAGTTGAAATCACGAAATATAAAATAAATACTGGAAAAATGGATTAAAACAAAAAATTAGAAATTTGAAAGTGATAAAAACAAAAGAAAAGCTTTTTTTTTAAAAGGAAAAAATAAATATTTGTCGAGAGTTATTTTTTTTAATAAAAGAAAATGATATGATCGGAAAGTATTTTTTTTGTGGAAATAATTTTGTACTTGAAAAATATAGTTTTGGAAAACTAGTAGTTTGTGATTGAAAAAATATAATTTTGTAATTGGAAAATAAATTTTGTTATTGGAAAAACAATTTCTAATATGAAACAAATTTTTTAATTCGAAAAAATAATTTCTAATATTAAACAAATTTTTTAATTCGAAAAAATAATTTCTAATTTGAAACAAATTTTTTAATTCGAAAAAATAATTTCTAATTTGAAACAAATTTTTTAATTCGCAAAAATAATTTTTAATTCGAAAAAATAATTTTTAATTAGAAATAATAATTTTTAATTAGAAAAAAAAAGTAAAAATAAAATTTTGTGATTGAAACTTATTTTTAAATTTCTAATATTTGAGCGTACTTTTTGTAATAATTTTTATTTTATTTTATTTTACTTTACTCTTTCTTTTTTTTGGGAGAAATTTTTCTTAAAACGATAAAAACAAATTGAAAGTGTTTGAAAATATTTTTTCTTGTGATTTTGAGAAATTGCAAACGGGAATTGAGTGTAAATATAATTAATAATGTAATATAATTAATAATATAAATGTGGAGACGTACCAAACAGGGTAAAGAGAGCGTCAGGCGTGACCATCTACACAGAGAACAGACAGAGTCCAGTCAGTAGTCAGCGAGTTTATAGGATTTAATGTAATAGTATGGGCACGCACAAGTTTCACGTACTTTTTTTGGTAAAATTTATTTTTTTTTTTTATTTCGTTTTAATTTGGAAAAAAAATTGTAATAATAGTTATTCAGTTCAAATATCCGATTAAAATCAAACAAAATTTAATATTATTTTCATTTTATTCTTGTTTAATTTTATTTTTAGTTGAATTTTAATTTAATTTTAATTTAATTTTATTTTAATTGTAATTCTTTCAAGAAAGAAACTTTGAAAATGGAAAAAAAATATTTCAATCATTCATGAAGAAAAAGGAAGAATAGTTGAAGAGAGAATCGTTATTAATTAAAATTAATATCAGCCTTTTAAATATTTCATTTAATTGAAAATTTGATACAATTTAATATTTAAAACTTGTTTAATATTTAAAATACGTTCGCCAAGAAAATTATCCTTACAAAAAAAATGTGATTCAATATTAATTACAATATTCAAGATTTAAAATGATGAATTTTGTCTTTCGTTATTAATAGAATCTCTTGAGAAGAAAATTCTTTTATTATTTTTAATATTTGAAAAACTATTCATTCAAAGTTAATTAACTTTATTAATTAAAATTAAAAAAAAAGAGATACTGATTTAATTAAATTGAAAACAACTTTTAACAAATTTTTTACTTTCATTTTATAGAAATATATTTTCTTCATCTTCTTTCATGAAATTTATTTTTCTATTTTTTCATCAATCAAAATTTACTACTTTTAATTTTAAATTACTACCAAAAGGTTTTTTTTTTAAATTTGATAGTTTTTAAATTACTCTAAAAGTAAAATTTCTATTTTTTAAATTATTATAAAAATAAAATTTCTTTTTTTTTAAAGTTACTAATTTTGTTTTTAAATTGCAAAAAATTATATACATAAATATAGAAATATAGAAAAATGTAGTGTAACGTGAAACTTGTGCGCGATAAAAACGATAGTAGTACACACAGTTATAGTACAGTAGTGACAAGTTGCAGCTGCAAGGTGTGATGTCAACACACATTTCGAGGCGCCCTCGACTTTATAAATGTCACTGTTATTTTAACTTTTCGATCCTGACAATATGACATTTATTTTTCAATCAATAATTGAAATTTTATGCATTTACATTAAAAAAAAAAAATTCTATCCATTTATTTTCAATATTTATATACAATTCAATAATTTAATTTATTTCAAAAATCTCAATTTAAATTTCATTTTCAATTATTCGATTCAATAAAAACAAAAGGTCTCAGTTTTGAAATAATAGAATTAAATAATATAAAAATATAATCAATACAAAAAGAAAGAAAAAAGAATTTTTTTTTCTATTAATTAAAAACTATTATTGCTTATAACAAGAATTTAATAAAGAAACAAATTTTGAAATATTTAATTTTAAGTAAAATTACTTGAAGTTTTAAGTAATTTTACTTAAAATTAAAATTAAATATTTCAAAATTTGTTTCAATAAAAGAGGGAAATAAAAAATAACATAAACAATTAGAAGACAAGAAAAAAAATAAGAAAAGAGAAAAATAAAAGAAAATAAATAATAGAAGAGAAAAATAAAATTACTTTGTAAGAAATTTCTTTTTTGAAAATGAAATTTATTTTCTTTATAAAATTGAAAAAGTCGAAATGCGCCTCGACTAAAGTAATAATCGTAACGATGTTACGATTTAAGGGCAAGAGGTTTGGTGACTTCATATAATAGAGTGATTCGTACAAGTCTGCTTAGAAAAATGAAGATTAAGGGTCATGGGCATGACAGGGAAAAACAACGCATCGTGTGTGTTACTTTATTCTTATCGTCGAACGAGTCACCGAGATTTTTATGCTCCCCCCTCTAAAATTATTAATTATTATCAATTATTATCAATTATTGTGAAATTCTTTTCTTTTTAATTTTTTCTGTTATATTATTTTTCAGTTCTTTTTATTTACTTTTTACATTTACGTTTTTCATTTTCCTTTTTAAATTTTTCTTCATTTACTTTTATTTTTTACTTTTTCAATTACTTTTTTTGCTTAATTTTTGAATGACTTTTTTGCATTACTTTTTTCAATTACTTTTCTACGTTTACTTTTTTCATTTACTTTTTCAACTTCTTTTTTACAATTTATTTTTTTCATTCAGTTTTTCAATTACTTTTTTACAATTTTTTTTTTCATTCAGTTTTTCAATTACTTTTTTACAATTTATTTTTTTCATTTACATTTTCAATTACTTTTTTTCATTCACTGTTTCAATTACTTTTTCAATTACTTTTTTCAATTATTTTTTTACATTTATTTTCTCAATTACCTTTTTCATTTACTATATCAAATAATTTTTTAAAATACTTTCTTCAATTACTTTTTGCAACTACTTTTTTTTAAAATTACTTTCTTCCATTTATTTTTTTTTCAATAAAAAATAAATTTAAATTTATTAATAAATTTATTTAATTAAACAAATTTTTAATAAATAGTCTTTCAAAGAAATCTTTTTATTTTTCAACTTGGAAGAAATTATTGCACTTGTTTGGAAAATGAAAAATTGGCTCTCGGCTCTCGTTCGTCGGAAAGAAATATTCGCAAAAAAAGGGTCAAGAAACTGCAGGGTATGCCAACGTAGTACTACCTCATTATTTATTGATAGATCACGTAGGTACGTACCCGAGATATTTAGATTCTTAGTTGTGAGATAAATTCACCGCGAGGCACGTCGAGAAAAAAAGAGAGAGAGAGTTCGAATCTTGAATTACAACCTCTCGATTTTATATTATATCATTTACCAACTCCATTATCGAACACAAGTATTTCAATTTTTTTACCACTTTACTATTTCAGAAAAACATATTTTAAATAATTTAATAATTTAATGTCATTAAATTTACCATATTATTTGAATTAATTAAATTTACTTTAGAATTTTTTATATGAACCAAAAATTAATTAAAACTTTAGATTTTTTTATCTGAACCAAAAATTAATTAAATTTACTTTCGATTTTCTTTATTTGAACCAAAAATTAATTAAATTTATTTTAGACTTTTTTATTCGAACCAAAAATTAATTAAATTTATTTTAGACTTTTTTATTCGAACCAAAAATTAATTAAATTTACTTTCGATTTTTTTATTCGAACAAGAAATAATTTTAATTACATTATCTAATTTAATGATTTTAATAATATTCGTGCCACGCGGAGAATATTAATCTCGAAAATTTCCAGTTTTTTTTTTTTTTTGAGGTTGGGAAAAGAATCCTTGACTCGAGTCAAAGGTGTTTTTTTTTTTGGTGAGTCAAAGGCAAGATTTGTTTATAAGCAAAAAAAAAAAAAAAAAAAAATGAAAAAAAATAGAAATGAAAACACTTACCTCTTCGTTGAGATTGCTGATGAGAAGAACTGATGACGGCTGAGGACTTCCGGGCACACGTACTCCCAATGCACCGGCACCGAGTGTGAATCCTCCTAAACCTGCGAGACCAGCGGCAGGTGCCACTCCATTATAGTGTCCTGTCAATGGCGATGGTAGGCCGTGCATTGCGGCAAATGGCGATGCCAAGACGCTCGGCGCGCCTGCAATGGACTCTACTTCAGGAAATTTATGTGACGTTAATTAATTATATTCGTAAAAACTGATGATATGTAGATTTTTTCAAAAACAATAAAATTATAGTTTTGTAAGTTAAATTTTCGTTTTTTTTTGTCTACTTTGACTGTATTTTGAGTCTGACTGGAGAGTTGTTTTACTACTCGAGTGTCGTCTGACTAAAAAGTGTTTTTACTACTGAAAATATGTCTTACTATAGAGTGCTTTTACTACTGAAAATATGTCTGACTATAGAGTTCTTTTACTACTGAAAATACGTCTGACTATAAAGTCCTCGTACTACTGAAAATATGTCTGACTATAAAGTCCTCGTACTACTGAAAATATGTCTGACTATAGCATTCTTTTACTACTGAAAATATGTCTGACTATAGAGTCCTTTTACTACTGAAAAGTTAGTCTGCCTACAAGTTTTTTTACCAATAAAAAATTGTCTGACTTAAAAGTACTTCTACTACTGAAAATTTGTCTGGCTAAACAAATGTCTGACTAAAAAATTGTCTCTACTACTGAAAATTTGTCTGGCTAAACAAATGTCTGACTAAAAATTGTCTCTACTACTGAAAATTTGTCTGGCTAAACAAATGTCTGACTAAAAATTGTCTCTACTACTAAAAAGTTGGACGAAAAAGTATTTTTTCTTTTATTTTCGTTTTTTTGTCTACTTGACTGTATTTTGAGTCTGACCAAAGAGTTGTTTTACTACTTCGAGTATCGTCTGACTAAAAAGTGTTTCTACTCCTGAAAATGTGTCTGACTATAGAGTTCTTTTACTACTGAACACTTGTGTGACAAAATTTTATTTCTTACTACTGAAAAATTAGTCTGCCTACAAGTTTTTTTTTACTAATAAAAAATTGTCTGACTTAAAAGTGATTCTACTACTGAAAAGTTGACTGGCTAAACAAATGTCTGACTAAAAATTGTCTCTACTACTGAGAAGTTGGACGAAAAAGTATTTTTACTACTAAAAAGTTGTCTAATTATGTAATATTTTTTTTTAATATTGAAAAGCCTGACAATTATAATTTTTAATCATAATTATGAAAAAAAAATTCCTTTCTTGAAAAAGACATGGCATAAAAAAGTTTAAAAAAAATATTGAAAAAATATTATAAAAATATGTAACAAAATAAATATTTACAATAATTATTATTTACCTATTAATTATTGTATATAAAATAAATATTATAATAATAGTAATAATAAAAAAAAATCTATATAGTTATTTAGTTACAGAACTATTTAGTTTTTAGTTATTGTTGTTATTATTATAATTATTTGCAACTATTATTTTAACTTTTTAAAAAAAATGTTTCTTTCATATATTTTAATTTTATTTAATATTTTTTTATTTGAATCAAAACTTATTTTAACACTTTTTTTATTTAAATATGTTTACTTTTATTAAACAATTTCGTTATTTAAATATGTTTACTTTTAACATTTTCTTAATTTAAATATTTTATCAACTATTAATAATTTTTAATTGTTATTTTGCTATTGTTATTATTATTATTATTAATGTTCAGAACAACTCTAATTACAAATTGTTTTAGTGACCTTTCGACTAATTGATGTAATTAAAATTTAAAAAAAATACATTTCCATTGTTTTTTTTTTTTGCAATGACAAATAACATTTTTCAAATAATTTGGATCTGTAATTTGAAACTATTGTTTTTCTCATTTTCTTTTGAAAACAAAGAGTTATTATTGTAGTGCCAAGTAAATATCCATAGAAATATAATACCCATTCACAGCGCTAGTAGCATTGAAACAATGGAAAAAAATTGCACTATTGTATTCTCGGGTTATAAAGCATTTACGTTACTTGCCTCTTTCTCTCTCTTGAAAATAACCCTCTCCCTCTCTCTCTCACTCTGTTGTGATTTTTTACATTTAATTTATATAAATACGAAAAAAATATACAGTATCATTTTGAGATAAAAAAAAAATATTAGTAAAAGTTTAAAAATATTTATGTAAAAAGTATTAAAATACGAAAAAGTATTAAAATACGTTAAGGTATTAAAAATAGGTAAAAGTATTAAAATACGTAAAAGTATTAAAATACGTAAAAGTATTAAAAATACGTAAAAGTATTAAAAATACGTAAATTATTAAAAAATACACTAATTAGTATTTAATAATTTTTCAAAAGTGTATCAAATATTATTTTTTTTTTATAATGATTTATAAAGTATGGAAGAGAAAAAATCACAGAAAGTTGAAACATTCTCGAGAAATTGGAAAAAGTTTTTTAAGTTGAAAAGTTGTGTTAACTCCTTTTCAAAGTTAATAACTTCTTATAAAAGTTAAAAATCTTTTTTCAAATCTTTCTTTTTTTTAAAACTTGTCAATCTTTAAAAAAATCTCAATCGCAATTTTTTTTTTTATGAATAAAAGAGAAAAAGAAAGAAAGAGAGAAAATGACAATTTAAAATTTTATATCCTGCAATCTGTAAATATATTTCTAGACGTTGTTTCATTTTACAGAGAAAATAAATTTTTCTATAAAATTTTTCAAAAACAAAATAAGTATTTATACAAAGTTTACATAATTAAAAATTCGATATTTAAAGTTGAGGCAAGTTTATAATTAATTTTGCAAGATTAAGAGAGGAACAATAGTTTCAAATTCTTAATTAGAAAAGTTAATAATTAATAATGAGTAATGGTAAAAATAAGAAATAATTATAATAAGTAGTATTTAAGAAAAAACAATTTTACAAACGAAATTGAAAGTAAATTAAATAATCTTAAAATATTAATATAATCGTAAATATAAAATAGATAAATTAGTAAAAAAATAATTATAGATTTAGCAAATATAATTAATTATCAGATTAAATAATTAAATATTAATTTCAATATTTCAAATAATAAATTCGAGACTTAATATTAGGTAAGTAATTAAATTTATATAAATTAAGATCAATATTAATATTAATATCATTATTACTTAATAATAACTAATTAATTGATTAATTAAAATGTAATTAATAGTAATAATAATAATAATAATAATAATAATATTAATAATAATAATAATATTGTTAACATTTTATTCTAATTATAAAATAGTGAGAAATTTTTAAGAGAAAAAAAGAAAAAATTTGTCTCAAAAAAATAAAAGAAAAGTAGAATAATAGTAGAAAAAAAAGAAAAAGAAATTGATTACTTACCAGGCAATCTAGCACGTGGCTGTGTACCAGCTGCACCAAGAAGTAGTTGTGGTAAAAGTTCGCCTCCGAGAGCAAGTGATGCAGCGTCCAAATTTGCGTCGCCAGTTGGCAGAGTTGGATTCGTGTAGTCACGCGATTTATCGTTATTGTACTTGACATTCAAATTTTGCATTTTACTGTAGTCAATTCTCAATGTACAACAGGAATTGTAGATATTCTGACCATCAAGGGACTGTGAACAACAAAACAAATACAATATTATAAAAATCACACAAAATTTTTAGCTAGAAAATTTTTCCAGGCATTAGAGAAATTTTTTTAAATATTTCAGAGGAATTTTTGAAAATTTTAATAAAAACTTTTTAAATTTTAATTTAGTGAAATATTAATTACTTTTTAGTGAATTATTTATATTTATATTCAAAAAGAAAATTTTCTTTATTTTTTGGAGCGGAATATTTTTAAATTTTCTATTGGAAAATTGTAAATATTTCCATAAAAAAAATTATTTTAGGAATATAAAGTTAATTTCTGTAATTTATTAAAAAAAAATCCGTAAATTTGCATCTGAGGGAATAAAAATTTAGGAATATTCCATCGAAATATTCCACTGAAATTTTATAAAAAAATACAATTTTTTATCAATCATTTTGTAATATTCGTAATATTCGATCGAAATATTCCACTGGAATTTTATAAAAAAATACAATTTTTTATCAATCATTTTGTAATATTCGTAATATTCTCTCAATATATTAATGAAATTTTTTTTAATAACAAAAAAAATTTTATTTTGAATCGATGGTTTCTAATTTTCTAGAAGAAAATAAAATGTCAACTAGTGTAATTTTCTCAAACATATTTTGTATTTACTTTCTTTTTTTTTTTTTTTGTTCGCGATAAAAGCCAAGTAAAGTAATTTTGTTGTTCCCTCAGAGTGAAATTTCCGCACTTATTGCAAGTCAATGAGTGTGAAATGAATGAGGATCGCTTCTCTCTCTCTCTCCCACACAGAACAAACACTATCGGTGAGAGAATAAAGAAGAAAAAAAGAAGTTAAAAAAAAAGGTTGCTAATAAAGAGAAAAGTTTTTCGTGTATAGTATAGCCAACGGGGGCGCTAATGAAACTTACAATCGGTTTACGAGCAACGACGAGGAAAACTAGAAACCACAGGTGCACGCAGCGACCAAATGCCAGTTCGCGCTATTTGGTTTTCATTAATAATACAGTAACGGCCTCCACACAATGGCGGTGGTTTAACTCGATGGTAGAGTTTGTTTGACTTATATGCTCTGTTTCGTTTTGTTATGCGTAAGTAAATAGGTTCTCTCTTTCTCTCTCTCTCTCTCACTCACTCTCTCACTCCTCTCCTAGATTCACTTCAAAATCAACGACTTGTTTGCATACACGAATGAATTTTAGATTTATTATTCTAAACGAAAACAATCAAACGAGTAAAGAAATATTCAATTTCTATAAATTTTGGAAAATTTTTTATTAACGTAATTTTTCTGTTTTTGAATTTAACAGAAATTTTCGAAATTTAAGTCTGATGAGTGAAATTGACTCCAACTACTGTGGAACTTAATAAAAAATTCAATTTAATTAATTTAATTTCAGCAAAACAAAGGGACTAGAAATTTGAACAGGTTATTGTCTGCCTAAACGTTGACATTACTACTTTGGAGATAAATTACAATTTTTTAATAATTAGTAATAAAAATTAGTAATAATAATAAAAATTAATAATTACTTTGGTAACTCGTCTGACTAAATATTGACCTTTACTACTGACAATGAATTTAACAATATTCGTAACTTGTCTGACTGAATATTGACCTCTACTACTGACGAGGCATTTTCAAACAAATTTGGTGACTCGTCTGACTAAAAATTGACCTCTACTACTGAGAAGGAATCTAAAAAAAATTCTGACTATAAATTGACCTTTACTACTGACGAGGAATTTAAAAAATATTCGTAACTCGTCTGACTAAAAATTGACCTTTACTACTGACGATGAATTTAAAAAAATATTGGTAACTCGTCTGACTAAATATTGACCTTTACTACTGACAATGAATTTAAAAATATTCGTAACTTGTCTGACTAAATATTTACCCCTACTACTGACGAAGAATTTTCAAACAAATTTGGTGACTCGTCTGACTAAAAATTGACCTCTACTACTGACAAGGAATCTAAAAAAAATTCTGACTAACACAATTGACCTTTACTACTGACGAGGAATTAAAAAAAATATTCGTAACTCGTCTGACTAACACAATTGACCTTTACTACTGCCGAGGAATTAAAAAAAATATTCGTAACTCGTCTGACTAAAAATTGACCTTTACTACTGACGAGGAATTTTAAAAACTTTGGTAACTCGTCTGACTAAAGATTGACCTCTACTACTGATAAGGAAACTAAAAAAATTTGAAAATTTTTTCTGTCTAAACATTGACCTTCTCTACTGACAAAGAATTTAAAAACTTTGGTAACTCGTATGACTAAATATTGACCTCTACTACTGGTATATAATATATAATTTATATATTATATAATATAATTATAATATACAATGAATTATATTACATTATATTATAATGCATTATTCATAATATTAATATAAACTATTATATTAATATTATGAATTATAATTATATTATTAATATTAAATATATAAATAAATAATAATAATAATTGCATTGTATTGTATATATATATATTTTTTTAAATATAAATTTATTCATTTATAGTTAAAATTTTATTATAGATACACAAAAGCAAATACGCTTGAAAACTCAATTTTCATAAATGGAAAATTGTTTCCACGGTTTTTATGTACATTTTAGGAACAATTTATTATTTCATTAACTCGCGTAATCGTTACTTTTATGTGTCACTCCAACATCGACTGTCATAAAATATTTTATGAATATTTGTGTAAAATGTAATATTCTTTAATTATAATCATGGCTTATAATATTTGCGATTATATTAACAACTAAATTTCACACTCTCCATATGTATATATATATAAATAAATGTGTACACATAAATATATTATTATAAATTTACCCAGAAATTAAAAATAAATTTAAAATAATACAAATATAACGTCAAGAAAAAAAACAAAAAGAAAGAGAAAAAGTAAACATTTTAATTCAAAACTGGAACAATAATTAATATTAAATTATAAATTAGTATTTATATTTAAATTTATTTATTTACATTTTACAAAAGAGAATTAAAAATATAAATAACGAAAAAAAATAATGGAAAATAATAATGAAAAAGAATAATAATAATAATAATAATAATAATAATAATAATAATAATAATAATAATAATAATAATAATAATAATAATAATAATAATAATAATAATAATAATAATAATAATAATAATAATAATAATAATAATAATAATAACAATAATAATAATAATAATAATAATAATAATAATAATAATAATAACAAAAAATACAAACAAAAAGAATATTAATAAAAAATGATTCAATTTTATTAAAAAATCAATAATCCTCGTTGATGTTATAAAAATAATTGGAAAAAAAAGAAATGAATAAAAAATATAATGCGCAAAATATGTGAAGCAAAATAAACAAGAAACGGTATTAGATTAAAAATATTTACAAAAATATTTTCTTGTGAAATTACAAAAAAAAAAAAAAAAAATTTGTTTAATGTTTGTTTAACGAAGGTTTATTATGAATTTTAAATATGTGTGGAATGACAAACATATTGTGTAGAAATAACGAAAATTATGAATTATAATTCGTCCGATAAAGATGTATTAAATGCCCTCGGAATTTTTATAGTGAGTGATTGATGAACAGGGGTAAAGAGGCTTTTTTCACAAAATATATAAATATATATATATATACAGTTACGCTCAGGCGGATTTTAAAACAGATGCGCGCAAGATTTATTACATTTTTTTTTTTTTTTTTTTTTTTTTTTGAAAGAAGAAAAAATGTATATTAGGGATTTTATAAATATTAGATAAAAAGTATTGTCCCTGAAATATCGCCGTCTCTTCATTAACATCATATCCAAAAAAAAGTTGCTTTTTGAAAATCGAAAAAAATTATTTTAGTAATAATAATAAAATCAATATAATAAAATAAAAATTTTTAAAATGAAATTAATAAAAATAAAAAATATAAATAATATAAAAAAATTCAATTATAACCGACTAATTACTAGACACACTTTATTAATTTATTTAATAAAATTTTCTCCTCGGAACTTTCCAATTTTCAATTAAAATTTGACGCGGACTTGTTTTGAAATTTATATTTAATTAAAATTATCGATTTCTTTTGAAGATTGGATTAGAAAATTATTTCCGACAGGTAGAAAAGTTTTGTTTTTAAAGGGGAATTGAAAAAAAATTTCTTTTTTTTTTTTTTTTTTTTGAAATTTTATGCAGTGTAAAATATCACAAGGTGAATATAAAAAGGGTGTGTGTGTGAGGTGTGTGGGGGGGTTGGGGGGTAAAAGTTTTTGTATTTTCTGCATGATTTTACCGTCTTTTTCCTTTGTAACGAAATTTGCCGTTTGGGAGATTACGTATTTTGTGAAATTTATCCGCTTACGGTGGTTGGGTTCTGTGTTCGTCAGTTTTGCTTTTACATTTTCACTGCGCATCGTATATATGGGGGAATTGCAAAGGAAATGAGGCCGATAGTGTGTATTTTGTATACGGCAGATTCAACAAAGGAATAACCCCCGAGGCCCTTTTGGGAGAAAGTCGCCCCGTTTGTTGAAAGGCCTTTCTGATACAACCAACTCAACGTAATTGACTTTTTCTCCTCTGAATTTAGCCAAACGAGGGAAAAGAAGAAAAAAAAAATTACAGGGACGCGTATAAACAGTGAATGTTAATCGATGGCAGGTAATTTTTTTTATTCCTTCGTGAAAATATACTAATTAAAGGAAAATTATAAAATGATTTAATATTTTTTTTTGTGATGTTTACTTTGGTTTCTTTTTGAATATTGAAAAGAAATTTTTCTTGGATTGAATTTTAATTTTCCAATATTTCTCATAAAAGTTATTTATAATATATATATATTTATTTTTGATAAATGGTTTTTTATATTAAATTTATTTTCATCTTTTAAAAATATATTTATTTAGATTGCAAAAAATAAATTTTAAAAAAAAGTTGAAGAAAGAACAGAAAAAATGAAAATAATAAAAATAAATGTAAAAGTAAAACAGAAAGCAATTAAATCAAAATTTTGCTCGACTGAAAATGTCCTTAAATATTTGAATAATAAAATCCGATCATAATTTTCCCAATAATAAAATTTCTCTATTTTAATCTAGAAAACTATTATATTTTCAAATATTCTTTTCTCTTTCAATGTTATTTTTCATTATAAAATTTTGTACCATTTTCAAGAATACATTTCCATTTAAGTCTGACTGAAATAAGTTTATACCATTTAATTTAAACAGTGAAGCGGCACACGCTAAATAAATTTAATAATAAAAACCATTATAGACCGTCTGTAACACAAGTTTGACAAAAAAAAGAAGGGGAAAATTTTTTTAAAAAAAAGAAACTATTTTTCTTTTGTTATTTAACTTACACGAAAGAAACGGAAAAATAATGGAGTTTTTATAAAGCAATTTATTCTTTAATTTAAACTTCAAACGGACAATTGTCTTTTGTATAAAAGTTTCCGCTTGATTTCTTCAAATTGTCACACAGAGGACAATTGAAGGAAAATATATTTGCAATGAAAACAAAATGTAAATTTAGAACTAATATTAATCTTGTTTGCAGATGGAAAATTCAATGCTCCGCCCACTTTTTTTTACACGTTTTCTTCTATTTTCCAAAGTACATTACTTTTGAGATATTAATTTCTTTTTTGTTTTTCATTTAGTAATATTATCTTTATTTTTCAAATAATAATTAATATTATTATAAAACAATATAATTATTATTGTTATTATTCATTATTTCTTTGGTTCTTAAAGAAATTTGCATTTTGTAACAAACGTTTTAGGTAATTAACAAATGTAAATCCTGCAAAATATTATCCTTTTTTTTAATATGAAATTTTTTTTCAATTTTTTTTTTCAAAAATTATTTCCATAATTTTAATTTAATTATTATTTTCTAGAATTTTTCAATAAAATTCTTCTTCAAATCAATTATCTTTAATAATTTTCAGAAAAAAATTCAATTAAACTTTTTCAAAATAATTAATTCTAAAGAATTTTTGATTATAAGTATGAAAAATTAAAATTTTCAAAGAATTTAATTTGAAACCTTTTCAAAATTCATTTATTTCTTTAAATTCAAGCTATAATGCTTTTCATATTCGAATATTGTTGAAATATTTGAATATTTTGAATGATAAATATTCAAATCTAAAATTTTAACTGAAATTCATTTTTAAATTAATTTTTATTAGAAAATTCTACGAGAATTCAATTATTTAAATGCAAAAAAGAAATAATTTATTAAATAATTAAATATTTCTGAAAATTGAATTTTTATGAAGAGTTTTATCGAAATTTTTAAAAATAACTTAATTCTTTCGGCGAGTTTAAAAATAAATGTAATTATTGCTAAGAAATTTATAACAAAATTTGTAAATAATTGAATTCCTAAGAAATTTTATCATTTATGAAAATAATTGAATATTTTAAACGAATTTTATTAAAAAATTTTTAAAAAATTGATTTCCCGAGAAGAAATTTATCATTTATTTCTAATTCTTGCGTAGAGTTTTATAAAAATCTTTTTAAATAATTGAATTCTTGCGAAGAATTAGATAAAATTTTTTTTTAAATAATTGATTATAATAATTGAATTCTTTCAACGAATTTTAATAAAATTTTGAAAATTTTTTGAAATAATTGATTTTTCTTTCGATGAACTTTAATACAAATTTGTAATAGTGATTAAATTTTCCAGGAATTCAATTAAAGTTCTATTAAAAGTAATTGAAATTCTGTCATTAGTTTTATTATTTATAAAAATAATTAAATTCCTATAAAAAGAATTTTATTATTTACGAAAATAATTGTAAAAAATTTTATTATTTATTGAAAATTTTTAAATAATTGATTTCTTTTGCCGATTTTTAATAAAATTGTTAAGAACAATTACATTTTTCGGGGAATTCGATTAAAATTGTATTAAAAATAATTGAAATTCTGCGATGAGTTTTATTTATGAAAATAATTGAATTTCCAAAAATGAATTTAATTATTTATGAGAATAATTCAATCCCTGTAAAAAATTTTATTTATTTATTGAAAATAATTAAATTATTGCAAAGCAATTTATAAAAAAATTTGTAAATAATAAAATTTATATGAAATTGAAGAGAATTTTTGAAATTTTGCCATGAATTTTATTAAAAATTTTTAAAATAATTCAATTCGTCTATAAATCCACTATTTTTAATAATTAATTAAATATATATTAAAAAAATTTAACAAATTTCAGAAGAATTTGAATTATTAACATTTTTAAAAACCTAAGTAATCTTTAAAATTTCTAATGAAATTCATTGAAAAAAAAATTTTTTTAATTTTATAAAATTTCAATATTCATCTATTTATGAAAATTGTAAGCGCAATTCTTTGAAAATTCAATTAATTTTAAAATAATAAAAAAAAGAAAAAAAATAGTCGAAAATTATAAATTACTCAATATAGATAAGTTAATACAAAATCAGAGCCTGAATTAGAGGAAATAAATCGAAAAGAAAATATCCATTTTGTATAGTTGAACAATATCCTTATTCTCTAAGGAGAAAGAAGAAACTTTTCGCAAAGGAAACCGGCAACTTTAACTAACACACACGTGAGAGGGGAAAAGGAATGAGAAAAAAACAACAAAAAAAAAAGTAACATTTTGTACGAGAATGGGAAAAAAGAGATACTTACGAATTTAGCAGCCTGTGCCGAAAGCATGTCCGGATATTGTATGAGCGCTTGGTACGAACCTGGAAAAAAGAAAAGAGAAATTCTTGATAAAAATTTTGTTATGTTTCATCATATTTCGTTCTTGATGGACCATAATTCTCTCCTTAAACACACACATCAATGTGAGTAATAAGCATTAGAGAATGCACCTGAGAATAACATTTTCTACTTTACAACTTCAACTTCTCATTTACAAGATTAGCTTCTCTTTCCTTTTTATCATCTAAAAATCCAACATTCATTTTCGTTTCGGGATTTTTATCTCGAAAAAATAATAATATATCTCAAGAAAAGAGAGAAATAAACAAAAGGAATTATTAAAACAATGAAATATAATTCAGATATGTTTGAGCTGTAATTTTAAATCAGAGGGGATTTCTTTTTTTTGCAAAAAGAGAACAGAAACTAATTCACCACCTTTAAATAAAATTGATTTTTTCAAAAAGTAATCCGCTAATTTGTATTCAAACTTTTTCTTTTTTGGTCAAGTGTTCACTGTAGTGTAAAATTAAGGAGCAAAAATAGAATTTTTTTTCTTTTTTTTCAGATTTCGTATTCTGTGGAATATGGACCTTTAGAGGGCAGTTGCCTTGATTATGTCCAAAAGGTGGTGGTGGTGGTTTTGGGGGGAGGGGTGTCTCGCAGCAACGAACTCGAGGTCAAGTGGCTTTAGTCGCTTAGTGTGTTGACGACATCCCATTGTGCCTTGACACCTCGGGTCAGAATCTGCGAGACATTTGCGATTAAGCGGATTTCAGCAAAGGACACAGTTTTGATAGTCCTGACAACAACAGAACCTTCACGTCATGCCTTTAATTATAAACGCCAATAAATTACCCCTCTAATTATATATTATTAACACATCGAGAAAAATCGATAATTTTTTGAGAAATAATAGTTAAATAATTAAATTAATAAAAATATTAACAATTTTTTAAATATTTTTATGGTAATTTTTAGACTTTAATTAACTATATTAATTTTAATGTTCTTTCATTCATTCACTTTTTTTGTCCCTCACACTCCGAAGTTGTCTTTTATTTATACTTTTGTTTTTTCTTATTAACATTAGATAGATTGTATACATATTATATTATTATGTTATAATTATTTTTATTTTATAATAATTAATTCAAAATTATAATGAAAAATAGAAATCATCAGAATTTTTTTCACATCTTTTCATTAAAAGACTAAAATTTTCTTAAATATTATGTTTTGTCAAATTGAAATTATTTTTGTTCTTTACTTCTAAAGAAAATTAGAAAATTGTTAAACAACTGTGATTAGGAAATAGAAAATTTATTTATTTTCAATTATTTTTGTTTATGAATCACAATTTCTTTAAACAAAATTATTATTTTGTCTTAGAAAAAGAAGAAAAAAAATTGCACAAATCTTATTTTTAATCTTTTTTTTTGGAACAGGATTTACCACAGGAATTTGTTATAAAACATGATCGACAGATAAAATCATTATTTTATACTATAAAAATATTGTTACTGTAACTTTATCAAAATTATTTTCATCATTTTAATTCAATTATTATTTTCTAGAATTTCAAATTATTTTTTATGAAAATAATAATTAAATTCCTTAAAAAAAATTTTATTATTTATGAAAATAATTAAATGTTTGCACAAAATTTTATTAAACTTTTTTTTTAAATAATTGAATTCTTTTTGGAAAATGTTATTAAAATAGTAGATATTGAAAATTATTAAAATTAGAAAATTTGTTAAAAATTATTGAAATTAGGACAAGAATTTTTTCTTCAAATAATTGAATTTCTGCAATTATTTGAAAATTCTATTATTTTTATTCAAAAATTTTTCCAAAAAAATGAATTTTGTTTTTAAATCAGATTTTTTATTTTATAAATATATTTTAATAAAAATTTTTTTAAAATAATTGCGCTTTTCGCGGAATTAATTTAAAATTGTATGAAAAAATAATTGAAATTCTACATTTTATTTTATTATTTATAGAAATAATTGAATTTTTGCGTCGATATTAATTGAAAAAAAAAATTAAATTCTTCAGAAAAATGTTATTATTTAGAAAATTAATTGCATTCTTGTCCAAAAAATTGATTAAAATCTTTTAAATCATTCAAATTTTGCAAACAATTTTATTATTTTTGAAAATAATTTAATTTCTCAGAAGAATTTTATTACTTTTATGAAATTAATTGAATTCTTTCAAAAAAATTGACTAAGATCTTTGAAATAATTGAATTCGTCACAAGAATTTTCTTGCTTATGAAAATAATTGAATTTTTATGAAGAATTTTGTTAAAATTTTAAAAAATAATTTAATTCCCCTGAAAAATTTAATTATTTATAAAAAAAAATTGAAATCCCCTAAAAAAATTTACTTATTTATAAAAATAATTGAATTCTTTACAAGAATTTTATTATTTTTTGAAATACTTGAATTCGTTAGAAGAATTTTATTATTTATGAAAATAATTGAATTTTTGTAAAGAATTTTGTTAAAATTTTAAAAAATAATTGAATTATCTAGAAAAATTAAATTATTTATAAAAAAAAAATTGCATTCTTTACAAGAATTTTGATTAAAATCTTTGAAATAATTGAAATTTTGTAAAGAATTTTATTAATTTTGGAAATAATTGAATTCTTAGGAAAAATTTTAATATTTTTTATATTAATTGAATGTTTGAGAAGAATATTTTAACATTTTTTTTTCTTTTTAATAATAGAATTATTTTGTGAAATTTTAGTAAAATAGTAATTAAAATTTGAATTATTTTTGGGAAATTTTATTAAAATATTAGATATTGAAAATCATTAAAATTAGAAAATTTTTTGAAAATTATTAAAATTAGGACAATAATTTATTTGACGTTTATGAAAATAATTGAACTTTGGAGAAGAATTTTGTTCTTTATAAAGTCAAGTGGGATTTTTACGAGAATTCTTTTAAATTTTGAACATAGTTGAATTTTGTAAGAAGAATTTTTCTTTTTTTAATTATTATTTGTAATTATTTCAAAATTGATTTCTTTTAGTGTTTTCAACATGAATTTAAATTAGAAAATTTTTAAATTCTATTATTTTTAAAATTGCTAATTTTATTTTAAAAAAGGCTGTAAGATGTTAGTCTCGCGCTTTAGCGCGCGAATTGTTTGCTAGTAAATTTTTATAATTTTCGAAGATAGTCATAAAATAAAATGGGTCAGAATATATTTTGACACTTTTTAGATATAAATTTTATACAATATTCAAAATATTTTGTATCCAAAAAAATTGCCGAATAAAAAATTTTATTTTTAATATTTTTGAAGTATTTTTGTTTTTAAAAAAATATTTTTCTACCAAAGTATGGAAACCAAAATACTACAAAAATAAAAAATACTACAAAAATTGTATAAAAAAATATAAAAAAATTAATGAGAAAAGAAATTAAATTTTTAATTACAATATAATGGTTATATAATAGTAAAATGGAGAATAAAAAAGAAATCAAATTTTGTCAATGTTGATATAAATTCCAGTAAATTTGATACTCACTGTTCTTCGTAAAAGTAACAATTTTCAGGACTTTGCCGAAGCGTGTGAATATCTGAAACAGAAAATTAATTTAACATTAGTAACGAGCGCTTGGGAACATATTTTGATATATATTCAAATAATATAATGGACAATATACTAAATCTCGAAACAAATCAAAATGCGTTTCTATTGTGAATTTATAAACAATGGTAGAATCACAAATTTCTATACTATATGTATGTATATACTTGTACTAAAAATAAACGAGAACGCATTAAATTGAAATATTATTTTCAAAATAGTATTTACGATAAATCGACGAGGGAATTATTTTATTCAATTGTCTTGAAAATTTTATTCACTTGTACGTACCTATATATATTTAAATGTATGAACAGGAAAAATATTCTATTGAGAAGGGGATATTGTCGATTATTGGAAATTCTTAAAAGGTTTGAAAATTCAACAGCAGATTATAAATAAATTCAAATCAATTAACAATTATTTGCCATGAAAATTCTTGTCAATTATTTAGAATTTATTGTTAAAATTGTAAAAATAAATAAAATAAATGAAATAAATAGATAATTAAGAAGTAAATAAATAGTTGAGTATGAAAATATAATAAAAAAATAAATATTTGGGAAATATTTAGAAAATATTTAGTTATTTTAAAAAACATTTTAAAAAAATTAAAGTAATAGTGAAAAATAAAATAAATATAAATGTGTGAAAAATATTTCAATAATAATGAAAACTTATAGGGTAAATAAATAAATAAATGAAAATATTACAAAAATAATTTTAAAAGTAACAAAAATTAAAATATTAAAATTAATACAAAAAAATAATATAAATGATTATATACAAATTAAAAAATAAAGTAATAATAAATAAATAATAATAAATAAATAAATATAAAATATAAAAATAAATAATAAATAAATCAATGGAATTGAAAAGACAATAAAAAATTTTTTCTACCCTTCTCTCCAATTTTTAATATTTTTCCAATTCCTTTTTTCTGGTATTTACATTTCTTTTCGCTCCGTTCTCTTTTTCACGAGAGGAAATAAAATATTTTTCTTTCTTTTTTCCTGCTTTCGTTTTTTTCTATTTTTTTTTTTTTTTTTTTTGGTGGCCAGAAGGAAAAACCCTTGGGAAATCAGGTCCCTATGCACAGGTAGAGCGATCAGTTCAGAAATATGTATAAGTCGTCGCTTAACTCACCAAACATAGATGCAAACCAACAACACGCAAAGTGTACTTAATATTTTATCCATTCAACTCACGTTTTTATTATTTTCTTTTTTATTCTCTCCCACTCTCTCTATATCGAATATATATTTATTCCGAAAAAGAAAAAAACTACTGTTTATAGATTATATTTGTGCTCAAAATCGACAATAAATGGAAATTATATTTTTATTTCTAAACTTTTTTCCTTTTCGATTATATTTTGGCAGAACGATGAAAAAATTGTGAAAGAAATGTGTTTTTCTTTATATAATTTATAATTTAGCAGCAGAAAATATTTTTCTACTTTTTTATTATATAATTTTATTTATTTTCTTTCAATATTCTTTTGTAATTTTATTATTCACTGAAGAAAAAAATTATTTTTAATTAATAAATTATAAGTAATGAATAAAACATATGCAATAAAATAAAATTTATTCAAAACTATTGATTTTAAACTTGTTCTTTTTTTATTATAAAATTATAATACCTATAATTATATTTTTTAATTATAATATAAATTATACAATAAAAAAATACCATTGAGAAAAAATGAAAAAAAATTTGGTTAACTTGTTATATTTACGAATTTTTCAAATTAAGTTCTTGGAAACAGATTCTATTAATAAATGAAAAACTTAAATTTTCGTCTGGCTTTTCTTAGTTATAGAGAAAAAAACATGCGGAGAAATGACATAATTAAATGAAAATTAAAAGAAAAGGGAAAATTGAAATATTTACTTTCTTTGTGAATGAAAATACTTTCGTAGAAGAATGAGAGAGTCAGAAGAGGTAAAGGATACTTTTCGAGATAAAATGTGATTACCCACTTCAGACATCTCAAGTTTTAGAACACAGAAATGTATTCAAGAAAAGTTGCTTTATTTTTCCTCAAGCTTCCCAATATATTCATGACAATAAAGAAATTACGACAAGATAAAATTTTTTCGTCATTTCATTTACGTATATATGTGTGATGGAAAAAACGAAGGAAAATCGAAAGAGAAAATTGCAATTAGAATAAATTATAAAATTATAATGTAATAAATTATAATTATAATCTTTTAATTTTTTTAATAAAGTAAAAAATTAAAAAAATTTTAAATTTTAATTAATTACAATTGAAACTTAAAGAAAAAATATTTCCCAAGTTGTTAACATTTCTCTCTTCCTTTTTTCCTATATATTGAGAATTGCAAAAAAAATTTCCAATACAGCAAATTGGTTGAAAAATTTTCGAAATTTTCGAAATTCGAATTAAATAATAATTATTTATATTCGCTATTGAATTTCAATAATATATTGATTATATTCAAATTAATATACAGCTAAACAATTTAATAGAGCACGCAACAACAACAACAACAACGAGACATGTTGAGTGAGAAATGTCCATCATTTGTCAGCCAATTGTTTCGTTTTCATTATATTGAGATATATATCCAGTGAGACAGTAAATTAATTAATTTCTCAAACCGCATAGAACGCTGTTGAAAATGCATCAAAATCAAATACATTCATTTTTTTCACCCACTGAATTCCAAATAATTCAGAAATTTTCAAATACATTGAATATTAATCGTTATTACCAAAGTCAACAATTTAATTTATGACAAAAATTATATTATTATTATTATTTATCAAAAAAATAAAATTTATTACATTAATTTTTAGAGAGATTTTAAAGTTGTTTTTAAATTGAATATAAAAATGAAAATTAATTAAGAGAATAAAAACAAAAAATTAAAATTAAAAGTAATTAAAGAAAATGAAAAACAAAACTAATTCGAAAATTGAAAATAAAAATAATTTCAAAAATTAAGAATAAAACTAAAGTAAAAATGAAAGTTAAAAGTACTTGAGAAAATTAAATAAAAATTTGAACTGAGAATTAAAATTAATTTTAATCATAAAACTAAATAAACACGGAAAAATCACAATTTATACAAAATAACTAAAAAGAATCTCATTGAAAAGAGAGGTGTAAGGATGTCAAAAAAAAAAATAAATAAAGAGAAGAAAAAAAAATGTGAAAATGAGAGTCTTCTGTATGGAAAGACCGAATAAAGCGAAGCATTAATCACACATTTCTCCTGCTCTCTATGATTAATGATTTCTTTGGCACCATGAAAAGCAAAGCGAAACGCCTAATGTTCCGGTTCGATCATTTCGCAGTTGATGCTTCATGTTCGTGCCTTTTTTTCGCGCAGTCACTTTAGTTTGTTTATATATGTATATGTCATGAATGAATCAACATTCTCTTGAATATTCAAAACGTTTTTCTTTTATTTATCTATTTTTTGTTTCCAATCAAAAGAAAGGGGAAAATTTAATGCTATTATGAAAACGGAGTTTATTTATAATTTCTGAGCATGCGTTTGTGGTCAAGTGGTAAGTCTAATGACTTGCGAACTTTTCTATAGGTGTCGAGGGTTCGAATCCCGTCGAATGGGAATTTTTTTCCAAGTTTGTTGTAAATTATAAGCGCCGAAGGTAAAATTAATAAATAAATAAATAAATAAATAATAAATCGTGTAGACAAAATAAAAAAAAAACAAAATAAGGTAGAAAAAATAAAAGAAACAAAGTAAGGTAGATAAAATAAAATAAACAAACTAAAGTAGATACAATAAAAAAAATAAAATAAGGTAGATAAAATACAATAAACAAACTAAAGTAGATAAAATAAAATAAACAAACTAAGGTAGATAAAATAAAATAAACAACATTAGTAATGTAAATAAAAAAAATTAACGAAGTAAATAAAATAAAATCAATAAAAAAACATAAAATTAATAAAGTAAACAGAACAAAATAAAAAAAAATGAAATTAATAAAGTAAACAGAACAAAATAAAAAAAATTAAATTAATAAAGTAAACAGAACAAAATAAAAAAATGAAATTAATAAAGTGAATAAAATAAAGATAAAATCAACAGAAAAATAAAATTAATAAAGTAATTTAAATTAAATCAATAAAAAAAGTAGTACGTATTAATAAAGGAAATTAAAAGAAGTAAAATTAATAAAAAAAAAAGTAAAATTGACAAAGGAAATAAAAGTAATAAAAATATAATAAATTAATTAAAAAATAATAAACTAAAATCGATAGAAAAATAAAATTAATAATGTAAATATAAAATAAACAATTACAGAAAGTATTGTAAAAATTATTAATTAAATAAAAATAAGGTACCCTCAAAAGTGATGTAAAAAAATCCAGAAGAGAAAAGAGAGGGGGAGGGGGGGGGTAAAGAAGAGATTATTCATTAAAATGGTACGTGGTCAGTTGGCCAGGAGCCCAACGAGTATTGGTCCCAAGTGTGTCTCGGGGGCAAATTATAGGGATATGCGTACCTGGCTGTGCAGAATCCGAGGTTATTGATTGCTGTTAGTTATTAATACGCGTGTTCAATTATCACTGAATCCTTGACGGTGGTCCAACTTCGCTTTTACCTCTTTCACCCCCCCCCCCTCCCACCCTTCCATCCCTTGTAATGGAATAATGTTTTGTTTTCCAACAATACTAATGTAAACCAGGCTTTATCAGGGGCCTGGGCAGTTACTGTCAAGGCCCTCGTTAAAAAACCATTTTTTCCCTATTTCCAAAAAAAAAATTAATTTCAAAAGCCGATTATTTCTGAAAATTCACGCTATATTGCTTTTAATATTCAATTATAACCTAAAATTTTAACTGAAATTCAATTTTTAAATCAACTATTATTAATAAATTCAAAGTAGAATTTAATTATTTGAATAGAAAAAAAAATTTATTGAATAATTACATACTTCTTAAAATTGAATTTTAATAAAAAATTTTATCAACAAATT